ATGTACCACATCTTCTTTATCCATTCATCTACTGATGGACACTTAGGTCGATTCCATATCTTGGCTATTGCAAATAGTGTTAAAATAAACATAGGGGTGCATATGTCTTTTTGAATCTGGGATCTTGTTTTCTTCAGGTAAATTCCTAGGAGTAGAATTCCTGGGTAAATGGTATTTCTATTTTTAGTTTTTTGAGGAACCTTCATACTGCTTTCCACAATGGTTGAACTAATTTACATTCCAACCAGCAGTGTAGGAGGGTTCTCCTTTCTCCACATTCTCGCCAGCGTTTGTTGTCCCTTGTCTTTTGGATGTTGGCCATCCTTACTGGTGTGGGGTAATAATCGCATTGTGGTTTTAATAGAGGAAAACTTCTCTAAAAACTGTAACTGATATCCTCTCAGATATAAGAGAAGCTTTTACATCAATGAAACTACAGTAAAATGCTATTTTTAATAACAATTTGAGAACAAGAAATATGATAAGAGACTAAGAGAAGTAGAAGATAATATTGTGGAAAGCTCATAGAAATTAGAATTTTTTATGGAAAATAAAAGAGAAGAAATGAATGGCTATCCAAATGATATTCCAAAAAGTGGAAATATAAAGAAAGAAATTGACACCTAAAAGGTAGAAGAAAAAGAGAACTCAAGGACATATTTCCCTTTCATGATGGTGGGAGGTAGAAAACACAATCTCAAAACCCCCAAGACACTGGATGACTGTTCATTTTACCTTTCCAATACTTATATTCACAGGAAATGCATGGGAATGATAAAATAACAAGTATTTATTGAGGGCTTGTTCTAGCCAGGTATTTGCTGAGGTATATACTATATATCTCAGGGCAATACTAGGAAGTAGGTACTATTGTTTTTCCCAGTTGCAGATGAAAAAAAACTAAGACTCAAGAAGTTAAGTAATTTTGGAGGCCATGATTCTACCAAAAATGGCCTGTCCTGCTAACCATTACACCATCCTGCCCCTTGTCTGTCAAAGCCAACTGCATGTATGTGTGTGCACACACATGCACACACACACACACACACACATACACACACACACGCACACACACAGATCTCTACCTGTGCCATCCCCTGCTCCCACTTCTTGAGTAGCTGCTAACAAATTTCATTACTTGCTTTTTCGGTTGTTACTTTACTTCTCAGAAAGACTTAGCCCTTTGTGCCACTTCATATTCTCGATTTTTAACTAAATTGGTCATTTTCTGTTTTTTGTTTGGTAGTTTTGCACAAAGATATGTGAAAAATAGATCAGTCCTTGGGTCTGTTATACCAGCTCATACAGCCCTATAACTTCCCAGTGATTATTGGAAGTTAAAATCCCCTAGAAAAGAAAAATCTTCTTTTGTCTAATCTGCTAAGGAAGGACTTCCCAGGGACGTAGAAAGGAACAAACGCTGTACTTCACATCTGCTCTGAAATGCAACGACCAGTGTGGGGGCCAATACTGATAGACCTTGGTATTGGAACAAGACCACCTTCCACCAAGGAATGTTTTACTTGAAATCGCAAAAATTATGTTGGCAGTGTCCATCTTTGGGCTTTTTTCTAAAGAAAGAGTATATATTCAGCTGGGCTGAGCCAATCCTCTCCAAATAAAAGCAATGAGAGAAACTTTCAAGATGTGTTGGCTTTTGTTAGAACACAATAATACATGGAAAAGCCTCAAGAGGTTCATAAAGTGCCTCCAGGGCCACAGGGTTGCTACACAGCAAGAACAGGACTTTCCTTACAGATGAATGTTTATGCAATTTCTCGAGTTCTCTCTGTCCACCTGGGTGGGGTGAAGGGTCTGTTTCCATAGTGTCTCTGAAGCTCCCCTCCTGCTCTGCAGAGTCTGCATAACCGATGCCGAGCTTCTAGCAGACACCTTCATTTCTGGCTCTCAAAGGGTGAAAAGGGGTGGTTCCAGGCCAGTAAGTGCTGGCTATATATTGCTGAAGCAGACAATAGAGAGATTAGAAAACTGGGAACATAACTACCAAAAGGAGAAAAGGCAGGTTCAGAGATAGGCCAATTTCAAAAGAGGTTTGTCCTGTGAAGTAGTGGAAAACAGCTCTATGGCTGTTCTCTGTGAAAACACTATTTTCTTAAGCCTCCAAATTATATTTATGCTGTTGACTATTTAAGGAAGGAACTATTAGAATATTGGAAATCACCTGCAGATCAATTAAGCAAATGGCAATGTTCATCAAGGAATGAAATCTTTAAATCATACGAAAGTGGATAACACTCAAGACATTTCACTTGAATATTTTTAAATTAATTTTCCTGCATAGCTAAAATGAGAAAGTATTTTGCCATTTAACCATTTTTTCCACATCATTTCATTTGAGCTTTGAGATACTGTTGATAAAATGAGAGTTCCTGTGGCCAGGATTCTCACCTGGCCCTGGTTGACTAGCTCACTGCACACCTGTGGGCAATACATGGCTGTTGACTCTACATAAAGAGCTCCACCCAGTGCTCTCTGTGCAACACGGTGGCACGGCTGCAAGGCTGCAGGAGAGCAGAGCAGAGGCTGGAGTGGTGGCAGTGCCAAGGACAGAGGCCCAGAGAATGGCTGTGTGGGATGACTGTGCAGAGAGGCCCAGAGGACAGCTGTGCAGACAGAGAGGCCCAGAGGCAGAGACCAGCTTGCTGCATGCAGACTCACTCTGAGTGAACGGGATTTTAGTGACTGACATGCCACCTGAAAATAAAGTTGGGTATAACCCTTTCACCCCAAGAATGTGTTGCTGTCAATTTCTTTGGTCACATTGAATCCATAGTGAACTTGCCCAAGGCTGAAACCCATTGGCAAGACAATTGGCGTAGTCAGCAGGATTCACTGTTGACCAAGGAAAAAGACAGGCTGCCCTTATGGGAGGGGTGCTTCAGCGAGCTGCCCCTGTGAATGGGGAGACAGTGGATCATCCCCCAATGGGTATGTGGTCTGAGGTGGCTTGCCTCCTAGAAGACTGGGCCCCACCCCAGGACTGGAGGCAAGTGGAGGTGACACCTGAGGCTGTAGGGATGGCTCTTGGTATAGTAAGATCCTTTGAGAAGCAGAGTGCCCGTGAGGCAGCGGGGACTGTGGGTTGGCTGCTTCTCACAGTATTGAAAAGGTCTACAGAGGAAACCCAAGAAATGGCAGCACAAGAACGCAAGCTGCAGACTTCTGTGGATTCCCTGGGGAAGGAGATAGCAAAGATGTGAGAAGGCAGCACAAGAGCGCCAGCAGCAAGGTGCCATTGGAGAGGTAAACAGTTCTTTACAGAATGAGATGGCAGCACTGCCAGGTGCTCTGAAGGAGGAAGAGGCCATCAAGGAAAAAAGACAAACTCCTGAGGAAAGCACAGGCAGAGGTGGCACGAGAACATCAGCTGTGAAGCAGTGGGCTGAAGGTAAGAGACCTTCTGAAGACTGAGCTGGCAGTGTTGCGAGGCACTGTAGCAGAGGAGGCACTTGGGGGAGTGGAGAGAAAGGTGCCATCAGCACCAGAAATGGAGAAGCTGGGGAAAGATGATGGGGTGGTGCCTGAGGCACTGGCCCCTCCTGTATTGAAAGCATGCCCAGTGGTTGTAAAGAAAATAAAGACCCAGCAGCTGAAAGTTCCCCAAGGAGAGGAGTAGCCCCTTCCTCAGGTCATGGAGCACTCTGTGGTCCGCCCCTATACTCAGGCTGAGCCGGCGGCTGTGGGACTTAGAGGTGGACGGAATTGTTCTGTCGGGATCAGAGATGGGAAAGCTGCCTTCCCTGACATTGCAGCCCGCCTTGAGGCAGCGATTACAAAATGCGAGGTGACTCACAAGAAGAATTTAAGGGGCCCCATGAAGGTTATGATGACCCAGATGTGGGTTGATTTAATACAGGCAGGAGTAGATGGAAGGAAAATGGATGGAAAGCCAAATAGGATGTTACTGGAGCTATGGCAACAGCTGAAACCAGAGCAGCAGTTCCAGCCATTAAGATCAAAGAGGCAGAGGTCAGATACAGAGCCATGAGTCCAGCCTGTGTGTGTGCAAGACTTTTTGCTGGAGAGGCTGGAGAACAATGTTTGAGCTTCCTTGCACAGGGACCATTGGAGAGGACTAAGGGCACATAGACTGGAGGAGATAACCCTGGAAGGGTGGAGTGTGGATAAAATGAGAGTTCCTGTAGCCAGGATTCTCACCTGGCCCTGGTTGACTAGTTCACTGCACACCTGTGGGCAATATATGACTGTTGACTCTATAAAAAGAGCCCCACCCAGTGCTCAACATGCAACATGGTGGCAGGGCTGCAAGGCTGCAGGAGAGCAGAGGCTGTAGTGGTGGCAGCACCGAGGACAGAGGCCCAGAGGACGGCTGTGTGAGATGACTGTGCAGAGAGGCCCAGAGGATGGCTGTGCAGAGGGGCCCAGAGGCAGAGACTGGCTTGCTGCATGCAGACTCGCTCTGAGTGAAAGGGATTCTAGTGACTGACCTGCCACCTGGAAATAAACTTGGGTATAACCCTTTCACCCCAAGAATGTTTTACTGTCAATTTCTTTGGTCACATTGAATCCATAGGGAACTTGCCCGGGGCTGAAACCCATTGGCAAGACAGATACCTTTATGGAGTGGATAGGCCTGCCATTACTTTCCCCATTTTACAAAGAGGAAACTGAGGCTCAGGAAAACTAAGAGATTTGTCCAAGGTCCCACAATTAGTAAGAAGAATGGCTCAATTAGTACATAACTTACAAGACACAGAGCACTTCTAAATATGTCAACTCCTATGGAACCCTTCTAACAGTCCTCTGAGAGTAATATTACTAGACGACCCATATCTCAGAAGTAAACCAGGGCTCTGAGAGATGAGGTTTTTTTTTTTTTACACATCAATCTCCTTTATTAGTTGTGATCCTGTTAGTTTTCCTTAAAACAGTAGTATTTCACTTTTACAGTTTTTATATCCATTAAAGCAACACTACCATATTGCAAAATACAACTACATGCAATTAAGTAGCTGATACATGCATTTTGACTTTATTAAAAAGTGATAGAAAAGATTACATGTCTCATTAAGAAAACATTTTCCTTAGACACCTTGTTTCTTTTTGGTTTTCTTTCAAAGAGCAAAGGGCTACTTCAAAGGTTGATTCTTTGTCCTTTCACAAGCCGTGCTCAAAATCTCCCAATGTCCTTCAGGGTGATGCCTTTAATTCCATTCATTTTATTTGCTAACAATTCCATGCATTTTATTTGCTAACTCTACAATTTCCTTTCCAGTGTTTTCGTGACTGGTACCCTTCACATCGATGTACTGGCAGTGGGCATCAGCAAAATAGCAGGAAATTACCTTCTGGAATCCTTTAGTTTTGTTCACACCAGATCCATGGATGAGCAAAGGATGAAAGAAAACAGTGTCTCCCTTCTCCATGACAACATGCACTCGGGCCATGGTTTCATCATGGATACCATCCTGGATCCCATGGTACAGTATGTTAACTCCCCCCTCCCACTGAGAGTAATCATGGGGCTTCAGGGGGCCTTTGTGTGGCTGGGAGAACAGTCAGACAGCCACTGTTCTGATCAATGTGCTCCACGGCTGTCCACATGCAAACTATACTATTGCTGGGCCTGAAGCAGAAATAGTGCAGATCCTGGTGCATACGGTCACGAGATGTCTTCTTGCCAGAATCTGGAGGTTTGTTTATCAACATTGTATGCATGGCCATAATATTGGGTCCAGTGAGGCACTCCACATATTTCAGAATCTCAGGGAGAGTGCAGTAACTGAAGAGTTCCTCATCGTCTTGAAAACCCTGGACCTTTGTAATCATGTTTTCACTTGGAACATATTCTGATTTTCCAGTGGTCACATTTCTCATTATCATTATTTTCTCTGGTTTCACCTCATTTCTGCAGATTCTTTCAAACTCATTCCTAAAGCGTTTGATATCAGTATCAGAGACCAAATTTTTAATGACAAGAAACCCACTTTCTTCATAAAACGCTTTCTGTTCTGGGCTTAGGGCATGATTATCCCAAGTATACTGAAATTGTTGAGGATGGAAACTGCCAGGAGAAACAGCTCCTGAAGTGGGGTGAGCTCTCTAGGATGTGAATTAAGAGAAAAAAATTGGTGAGAAGGTTTTTGAAAGTTGCTAACATTAGTCCATACAAGTCTCACATCCCAGATTCCAAACCTCATCCTCTCTCCACGTGAATTCAATCCCAGGTATACTGACTACAAATCCATTGCACTGTCTGCCCTTAAAGAAGATGGAAAAATAAATCCTCTTCCTCCTTGACTGGCAATTGTTGAGATCGTTTGAGAGCCTTGGCGTCTCTGGGTCCTATTTTATTCTTTCAGCTCAGAGGATGTGGGAGCAATAGTCTACCCAACAGTGCATTGATTTACAAATAGAAGATGCCTGGGAAGCTGTAGAAGTCTGATCATGTCCATATATAGCACAATATTTGGCACTTTAGCTGCAGGCAAGAAAAGCCATGGCTTGAGAATAGCTAAGTGCAGATGGGCAGCCATCCCAAGCCCTGAAACAGGCTAACATACTTGAAGTGAAGAAGTGTAGGTGAGGTACTACAGAAGAATGCAATGGCCCTGCAGCCATCTACAGAATGCCCAGCTATTCTGTGCTCCCTAGACACCCCCCACTTGAGAATAATCTAAATTGGGGTCCAGTGTGGAAGGCAGGAGTGTATCTGCTAACAAAACTTAAAGGTTATTCATCTGAACGTGGCATTTGTCATTTTTCTTATTTTTCCATTCAAAGTTAACCTTATTTTGGCATTGATTTTGGTGTCTAATATCATTTCATTTTTCAAGCAAAATTTAAAAACTGTCATTCCCATACATACTTCTACCCAATGAGAAACAGCCTTGGTGACAATTTTTTTATTAAAGTTCTTCATGACCAAATGAGGGTGTTGCATTCATCTGAATCGAAAGACAAGGTTGTCAGAAAATCTGTAAGCTGTTTCCACAAAAATCCCCATATACTGTGGATTGTGACCCTGTCCAGTTGCTTTCACAAACCTGGCTTCAGCATCGGACTTGGCTCAGTGGGTCAGATGCCATAAATGCCCAGTGGATTCTGTGTCAACTCTGAAAACACCATATACTGTATATAATGTTTTCATATGACATGCTCATTAGTTTAGTTTCCACATTCCTGAAATATTAGGAGTTTCTTATGAGCTTAAGTTACACTTTTGAGAAATCAAATGGTTTACTGCTTCTGAAGTTTTGTACAAAATAATAAGCACTACTTTTCCTTTCAACACTTTTACTTTCCTCAACAAACTGAAGGCAGGACTGAGAAAAGAGAAACCTAATACTGGGTTGCAAAAATCCAAAGTTTTTCTGTTTTAGTGTATGGAGTTTTGATGTAACTGTGAAGATAGTCTTTGAATTAATATTGAATCACAATGTTGGTGGAAATATTGGTCCCAAGAGAATTACTGGGGCTTGAAAACGGAAAATAGTTCACATGCTTTATGTAGCTGGCATAAGTCTGAGAAGCCAGCTTATTAGGGAAGCTTCTCTTTGAATTGAGCATGAAAGGAGGATCTAGTTGCTGCAGACAGGATCTTGACATGGAGAAGGTAGAGCAGGTGCCTGTGGTGATTCTCGGGTTACACATTTGATTTTTTTTGCAGTTAAATAAAAAGTTAGGAGCCTTTTGATTGCTCACATTTGTTTTTGTCACAGCTGCTCCCAGGAGAAAGGGTATTTGCACCATCTGTACAGTGGCAGTAACTCCAGCTTTCCTTTATGTCACAGCACATGTTATAGCAGGTTTCGGTTTCTTGTGCCCTTGATGTGCTCCTGCAAATCCCTACTTAGAGCTCCCTTTTCCGGTGCTTCCATGTGTTAAAGCCCACCAGTCTGCTTCATTCTGTCGCTATTGTGCCTCCATTTACCTCTGTATCTGGCTCCCGTTTAATTTAGCACCTACTACACGCCTGCTTATTTCCACACTCTCAACAACCAGTTCAGGGATAGATGTTGATGTCCCAGTTTTACAGGTGACTACACCAAAGTGCAAAGAGATTAAAAAATAAATTGTCCACAGTCACAAACCGTATCACTGGGAGAGCTGGGATTTGAACCCAGGGCTATCTGACTGCAGGGCCTGGCCCAGCCATTCCAGTGTGCTGTTCCTTAGAAGATGTACCACGTGTGCAGGAGCAGGAAATAGGCTATGAACACCTAAGAGCCTGAACGACATGTGTGTGAAGCTCACATGGCTCATGAGACTACTAGATTCAGCAGGTCTTGAATATCATCTAGTTCCAACTCTACCCCAATCAGCAATTCCCTCTACAACAGTCGAGGTAAACAGCTTCCCAGCCTGTATTTGAGTTGTTTTTAAATGAAAAAAATAAGGAAAATGGCTGTGGATCTGGTCACATACTCATCCAGTGGTGAGTTTCTGCAGCAACATTCTATTTGGGAACAATTATGCAAACAGCCGCACTCAGGCTGGGTCAGAGTATTCCCGTGAGCAAAGCCAGGCACCCAGGAGGGATCTGGCAGTGGGGCTACTCAGGAACTGCTGTCCTTGTTGCTGGTTTTGTGCCTTCCTGGAACTGACAGTCTTGAAAGTGGTTCCCAAAAGGGCTGCATAGCATCCTTCTGAAACTGCGCAAACAACAGGAAAAACATAACACAAATTCAAAAAGAATAGGAATCCTTACAATCTCACCAGCTGAACGAATCGTCTGTTTCCACTCTTCTGGCTTCCTGCTAATCTTTGCCCACACATAAACATGATTTTTAGAGCTGTAATCAAGTATATGTGCAATTTGCCATTCCTCTTTGCATGCTTAACATTATATCATAAGCATTTTCTGTTGCTATGCAGCCTGCATAATTATAATTTTTAGTGGCTGTATGATAGTCCATCAAACTGACACAATGTAATTTACTTAAATTCACTCCTAAGTTGTTTCTAGTTTTTCTTTATTATAAATTACTCCACATGATCATCTTCATTTTTACTGACTTTTACCCAAAATAATCCAAAAATAATTCTTTTGGATTATTTCCTTGGAATCAAAAATTGCTGTACTCTTTAAAAAAATAAAGGCAAAGTGAATAAATTCTATTTTGAGTTTTGTGACATACAAAAAAATCCCAGTTCTTAGGGGAATTCACATTAGGTGTAGTTGTTCTTTTATATATCACTTAGGATTTTGGTGCATAATAACTTTGTGTCATAAACAGATAAAATTCTGCTCTTAATGAGCTTACTTTCTAAAGAAAGTAAAAAAGATAATTTTTTAAAGAGTTAAATAATTTTCAAGCATTTTTAAATTTTTGTTATCTTACCCTCTTTTTTAAGTCTGCCATATTCACCTCCTACACCCTTCAAACTTAGGTTTTTAAGCAGGAGGTTGTTATTCAGGCAGTTCACTTTGTCCCCAACATGGGAGGTGGCCTAGACAGGGTAGAGAGGAATAAGCAGGGGTCCAGTTAGGAGACGCCGGCAACAGTCCAGGCAGACAGGGTGAAGCCAGTGGAGTGGGAATGGCCAGAAGGGGACAAATGACGCTTCTTACAATGGTCAGGCTTGAGGGCCAACAGGGTGACAGTTTAGACAAATGTACTTTTTGCTAGCTCTTTGGAGATCTTCGGAAAAACAATCCTGCCCTGGGCTTACGTGTAGGAAAGATAGACACCTGCCAACTCGGAGGCATTCGAGGTACACAGAACTCCCTGAGCTCACCTGCCAAAAATGCCAACATAAGACAGTCATTTAAATTGATGTCCTGCCTCTCCATAGCCTCCAGTCACAAGGGGTCCTGCTCCTGAATGAATGACACATTATGACATTATCCACAATGTGGTACTGAGGAAGTGGCTGGGCTGGGGAGTCAGAGAACCAAGTCCTCGTCCTGGCAGTGTAGTCATAGTAAGACACTTGATCTTGCCAAGCTTCTGTTTATTAATTTTTTCTTGTAAAATGGGGATAATAATGACTGTCCTGCCTGTTTCACAAGTTGTTTTTGAGTATTATGTGGAATCATGTATATGAAGTCTCTCATAAACTCTAACATAGCATGTGGATGTTGGAGGGGTGGGTGAGCAGAAAGGGCAGGCAGGAAGCTGATCATATCACCAGCTGGGGCTGAACAGTAGAAAGCAGAATGGTAATGAATGGGCTACAGGATAGGTAAATTCTGATGAGTGTGCCTGAGGGGCTGTCTCAGTCTGCCCAGCCTACTGTAACAAAATCCACAGACAGGGCTGCTTAAATAACAGACACTTCTCAAAATTCTGGAGGCTGGAAAATCCAAGATCACACTGCCGGCAGATTCAGTTCTGGGTGAGGGCCCTCTTCCTGCCTTGCGGAGAGCCGACTTCTGGCTGTGTCCTCGCAAAGGAGTGCAAGCTCGTATCTCTTCCTCTTCTTCTTAGGGCACTAATCCCACTGTGGGGGCCCCAGCCTCATGACCTTATCCAAACCAAGTTACCAACCAATGACTACTTCTAAATGCCATCACATTGAAGGTTGGGGCTTCAACATGTGAATTTGAGGAGGGCACAACATTCACTCCCTAACCGTGCACTGGGGAACAGAGAAGACCTGAATGGGAGGCTGGGGGGACCCTGAGCACCCAGAACAAGAGGGTGCCTGAGGACAGTGAATGAGGATGCGACTCCTGGCTCTGACACTTTCTAGAGGTGCGCAACTTGGACAGGTTGCTAACTTTGCTGCACCTCACCTACCTCATCTGAAATGAAGACTCATTCATTCATTCACCAACTATCTTATTGAGTAGCTACTGTGTGCCAGGGACCGTTCTAGGTGCTGAGGATAAAACTGTGAACAAGACAGGTCATTTCGGTGCCTTTGTAAAATGTACATCCCCATGGGATAATAACAGGGTCCCATGGGGTTGTTCTGAAGAGTGTGTGATGTAATCTACATGGCATGGTAGTTGTGCAGAATTAAGTGCCCTAGAATTGTTAGCACTTAGTATCGATCTGTTTCACCAT